GAGCTGTCCGAGGGGTAGCCTGGTCGGGGTCGGGGGCTCCCGACTTTTGTCCCGTCCTGTGCCAGCTCCTGGAGGAGCACGGGAGGACTGGGGGCTCCTTAAGGAAAGACACCCCCTCCCTGTGCTTCGCCTCCTCCCAGAGGGCAGAGGTGGCTGCCTGCCTTCTGTCCCCCACCCCAGCCTGGTACCCCAGCTGCCCTTTTGAGCAGGATTGTTAAGGGAGAGCCCTGTCGAGCACATCATGCTGGGTGAGCCCAGCCAGTTGAGCAGAGCAGCCAGAGGGCTGGGAACAGAGTGGTCTCCCGCACCCCGAGATTGCTGCAGTGGAAGCTGCAAGCCACAAACCTGGGAGTCGGTGATACTGATCCAGGATATACATGTATGTGCTACAGGAGGCTGTGGAACAGTTTTCAGAAGAACAGGCAGAATCAACTTGAGATTGAAAGACAGAGATGCAAGAATGACCAAGGCATCCACAGGCAAACATCTTTTGTGTAATTACCATCCTCATTACACTGCCACCAATGTCATTAAGTGCCATTAGGTTTAACTCGGTTCCCTAGGACTTTCTCATTAATTGGATTACCCAATTAAACAGGCCACAATTAAAGGGAAGACGATGCGATAAAAGCCTTAATTGTTTAACTTTTTTCGTGTTGAGCAGCTTTGAGTGTTCAAGACACCATTTAGAAAATCATCATCCAGTTTCCTCAACAGTGGGTTTTGGCTTTTTTCTCTTCTTTTTGGTAACATTAGCATTGGTTTGCTGTGAGCTTCATTTCAGACAGCTCCAACACCGAGTGGGCATTTTGTTTCACAGAGCCTATGTGCAAGTTTACTTCACAGAGCTATAAACTGCAGTAGGTGGTGTTTAGCAGATGGAGTTTTTCATGGCAGGTAACTGGTAAAGAAAAAAAAAAACCAAACCCTGCACAATATTTTGTTACTGTATAAAGAAAAGCCAGATTCTGCAAGTACATAGCCACATACTTCACTTTAACCATATAGACAGTGCCAAGCTTCATTTTGAGGAATATTTTTTTGCATGTTGGTGATGCTGAAGTGACAGCTCATTTCTCTCCTTCATCCCCACAGTGGTGCTGGCACAAGTGTCAGTCTGTGCCCTGGTAATCCAGGGAGGGGAAACAAATCCCGAATGAAAATTCCTCTGTGATCTGTGTGGGCTATTTGTGGTGCAGAGCCATTCCTGGTTCCCTTTGCTGTGTGCTCGCCCCAGCATTGCCCCAGCATGAGGTGAGGGGACACAGCAGGGTAAGCATCCAGGGCTGCCAGTGCTGGCTCTGAGATATGTGAAACGTCATCATCCTCCGAGCTCTCGGCTTTTGGTGAAAAAGCCCGTGTGGGACAAGAGACCTGGTGGCACCAGAACTATTTACACCGCTTTGGCCAGCAATCTGCGCCTGCTGAGGGCACACTGTTTGTTGGATACATGTGAAAACCAAAGGCTGTATTTTCTACTTTATTATTTCACCAAAATCCAAAAGACCTAGGCCAGAAGTGAATATGACCCTTTTAGGAGAAAAAACTCTCCCTCAAAAGAAAATGAACACATTTTCCTTCCAACTGAGAGCTAAGAAAATTGTCATCAGATCTTTGAGTAGTCCTCCCGAAAAAAAAATAAAAGAAAATGTGGTGGCTTTTAGTTAGAAGATGCAAGATGAACAACCTGGGCCTTCTTTACACAGCAAGTCCAACTTTTCTCTTTCACATATCACATTCCTCCTGAGAAAAATGGATACTGCCTATAAACCCTGAGGGAAAAAAAAAATCAAAAAATATTTTAGATGGGATTGATAGCTGTGGTCTGAAGGAGTTTGATTGCTAGGTTATTAATCAAAATGTAGATATGTAAAAGCATTATTTCTTCAGATTTAAAATAAAATATTCCTATCCACAGCTCCAAGTACTGAACATCTGATTAATGCAGTCAGATCACAGCAGTACTAAAGTGGTCCTGTCATAGGATCTCAGCTGGCCAGATGCTGCAGAGACAGCTTTTCATAGCAAAAAGCAGCCAGCGCCAGCACTCCTAGGCTTTTGGACCTTGCTCAAGGTAAGGCGCAGGGAAACACAGCAGCTGTGCCGTAGGAGAAGTGATTCTGCACGGCCGCAACAGCCTCTGTGCCTGGAAGAAATGCTACAACCTCTGGGCCAAATACAACAGTAAAACCAATACTGAGTTCCTGGCATGTCCTCCTAATACAGCTTTGGTGGCCTGTGAATTGCCAATCAGAGTCTTAACAGGCAACTTCAGGTACCCATCTGGCCATACTTTTAATTCAAAGATCAGGTTAGGAGGGCTGAATGATGTCAGATGGACACGTCCCTTTATTTTCCGGTGGGAATTCCCATCGATGTGTGCACAGGAAAGCACACGTTGGTTCTGATGGAGCCCCATCTCCTCTGGGCTGCGGCCACTTCCAGTTTCTGCACGTCCTTCTAGCACCTCTCCTCAACGCTGAGAAAAAGGGTCCTGTAACCTCGTTCCCAGTTAGTTAAAGCTCACTCTGGTCCCTCTTAAAAATGCAAGCTCACAAACACACAGAAAGATCTCTGTTTTTTACAGAGAGGGGCAGCGAGAGGAGACATTGACCTGCTTCTGGTGGGTGGCAGAGTGACCTCACCTGCAGGGCTGCCTTCAGCGACGCAGCCAGCTTCTCCCTCCTCTCCCTTGAAACCTCAAGATGGGAACCCATACAAAGACCTATGTAGGGTCCCTAACTCTCTCCTGAAGTTTAGCACATTATAAATTAGGCAACTAACCCCTCTGTGTGGGCTGCAATGCTTGTCCAAACTCACACACATCTAAATGCAGGAAGTGAAATTCAGACTTAAGGAAGCACAGGGCCTTACCACCACCAGACCAATCACTTATGCAAGAAAAGCCCACAAAGACTGCATCTCTGATGGGATTAACGTGGAGCAGACTGGCTGTCAGCAAACATCACCTTCCCACAGGCCCTGGGAAGCTGGGGGAGGGAAGAGTGTGCAGAAGCAAGAAGATGACTCAGAAGGGAGCCCTGCCTCCCTGCAGAGCTGGTTGCAGGTAGAGTAAATCCACACCCACAGCAACACCCCTCAGCCATCAACTTTCCTAGACACAGGCAACTGTGCACAGGTGCTGCCGAGCTCCAGATGTTTCCTGTTAGCAATGGCCCAGGTGTGTGGAAGGGTTATAAATGTGACAGGGCAGGAGAAGGATTGTCTGTGGGGTATCTGGTAACTCCTGGGGGTACCCTCTGCTTTTACAGCTGTATGTAGTGTGGGTTCCTTTTTCCTCTGGTTGAGAAAGTTAAGGTAGAAAAGTATGAGGGGAGGGCTGCTGTTTGTTTCTCTTTGGAATTTGGTAGCTCTGCTTCTATGTGTGATGAGAGTAGTGGATGAAGTACTAGTGGAGAAGTTGCCTTAGAGGCTTACTGTAAAAGGCAATGATTTCTGAGTTGTATCTGACTTGCACCAGCAAGGTGAAAAGTAGTATCTGTTGTTGTTACACAAACAGTAACTGAATGGATGTGTTTTTGCTAATTCTGAGTTACTCTTCCTTGACCAATGCCATTACATGACACTTAAGAGTTATCAAGGCTTCTGTGTGTGGGAGCAGGATGGGGGAGTGCATGTGGTGAGCAGAGCTAATGCCTTTGATAAGGCAAGGAAAAGGAGGGGTAGTCTGCCTGTGTAAATAATGCTGTCTTCTCTCTCTAACAAAGCAGGCCAGTATCAACTATACCTGTTCTGTTTCTTATGGTGAAATGGATGACTGGGACAACAGCGATGAATTCATTCAGCGACTGGATTTTTCCAGTTGTGGTGAAGAGAGTGAAGACAGAAGCATAAATGATGAGGATGCCCTGAGCTCAAGCCCCCCCAGGAGTTGTGAGTTCCAGAAGTGGCAACAGAGCAGTCCTCTGCCAGCAACCCCCCAGAGAAAGCTTAGTGAGATTTTCCTGAGCAGGACAAGAGCCTGGGTGAGTCCCACCCTGAAGTCTTCCCCAGCTGTGAGCAAGAGCCTGGGCAATGCTGAGACACCGCTGCACATCACCTGGAAAAAGCTGCGGCTGTGTGACACGCCGTACACTCCTAAGGTAATGGCATGTATCCACTCTATGTCTGAGCGGGCAGGGTCTGCGGTGTTGCTGGGGCATTGCCACATGGGTGTTGAGGGGATCTGTGGCTAGCGCTATGGAAAGCATTTTTTTAATGTTACTGTTGTTAACCTCTATTCTTCACTTAGAAGCATGGACCAAAAACTCCTTAGCTATGGAAGGATTATTCTGTGGGGGTGAATAGAAACCTGTGTGTGGTAGTAAGTGTCTTGACTATTTCTAAGCTGATGTTAAAACTAATTAGTTGGCATTGGGTCAGTCTGACTTAAAAAATCCCAAGAACCATATGCCTTGGCTGCCCATGTGCTCCTCACACTCTGCTTAGGGGAGTGGACACCTGTAGCATCTCTGTAGGAATTGTGCACTGTGCTCCCAGAGGGATAAATGCATCTCTCTTCAAGGAGCTTATCATTTTATGGGGAGCTTGGAGACAGTCAGCTGCCTTGACTACTCTGTTCAGCATTTTTTTGGATGCAAGTGGGTTTTCTTTTGAAAGAGAAAGTTGGAAATGGCATTGTGGCTGGGGTATACTTGGGCACGTCTGAATTACCTCCATCCAGCTTGTTGTCCAGTGATGCTGATTGTCTTTGTGTGAAACTGAGCTGCTCAGTGAATTTGGGAAAAGTGTGACTTTGTTCTCAGGGTAGCAAATCCTTTGTGGAAGGAGTAACAAATCAGCATGGGCTTGTGGAAGAAGGTGAGTCTGTCTTCCTCGATGTCACTGTTCTAAAATGTAACTTATCTACTGGGCTGTTTTCTTGGGAGAATGATTCCAGTCCCTATTTTCTGTGTAACTTCTTGTATAGAATATAATACAACTGCTTTTTGTCTTATGTAAGGACAACTGGAGACTTGGTGCCAACTTATCTGTTCCTAGATGACATCAGTTGTGTGCATTGGCTTCTAGCATTCAAGACTTGCAATGAAATGTAGCTCTTTCAGTCCTCTCTCAATATTCCTGCTCTACTGATAGACTGGTTGCTCCTTTGCTTAAGTGGTACAGAGAAGATCATACTTTTAGTACTTCTGAGCCAGGATGTGACTTCTGGCCCCCTCCAGAAACTTGATTACGTGGAAAGAAGGGTGATCCTATGGCTACATGTGAGCAACTGCGTGGTCATATTTACTGAGGAATGGCCTGTTGCTCTCTAGGAGAAGGCAGCTCTAAATGGCATGATTCCAAGAATTTCCTGTAATGACTCTTTATAAGAGATCTCACTTTAAAATAGGTGAGAGGTCCAGAATTTCTTCCAGACAAGATGGGCTACTGGTAGTGCAGGGTGCCTTCAGTGTGTGCTCTTGTGTAGATAACATGTTGGTTGGATGCTTCAAGACATGCTGCCTATGGTTTTTCACCTTGTAGCCCACGAACAGCAATTGCAATAAACCAACATTTTTCTTTGCTGTCTTCTGGGAGAAAGGTCTTGGTTTCCAATCATTCTGCCGAAGGTGGGCTCTAAAGGGCCTAAATCTGCTTATAAATGAGGCTGGGAGCACTGATGTTGGAAGACTTGAAAGTGAGAGAAAGCGGAGCCACATCTAACTGCAGACAGATGAGCAGAGGAGCACCAGCTAGGATGCATGGCAGAGGAGGCAGATGATTGTATTTTGTAGATGTACCCAATCCTGGAACAGATTGCTAGAGCTCGTTATGGTAGTTGCCTTACACTGTGTGGCAGCAGCTACTCTCAGATGACGTTACAGGAGACAAGTCTGCTTGATTACAAAGTAGAGCCCTAGTAGAGCAGATGGGAATTGCACGCATACAACAGCAGGCTGTAATGGTATTTTAGATTGCTTTTTTGACTTGTGGCTAGAGTAGAACATAGCCTAGAAGCTCTAGAATTGTGGCTGCTGGGTAAATTTGGCTTAGACATAAACTGCTTTTAATACGTCTGTATGCAGAACTTTTCCATCCAAGAGCAAGGAGATGCAGACCGGAGCTTGAGAAGGTGGTCAAGAAACACTTTTGGGGTCACAGTAAACCAGTAGCTGAACTCCCAAGTGTGGTATAGAAATAGAGGGATGTCCCAGAAGTAGCTATATCCATAAGTGCAGCATCAATTAGGCAGATGCAGGATACTGCATGCAGCTCTAGGGTTTTTATCTTCAAAACTTTCAATGTGAGAGGGGAGGAACTCTAGATATGATCCTGAAGCCACATCTCTGCTCATAAGAGTGAGACTACTGTTGGATCAAAAAGATATAAAAGTACCTTGATCTTCATAACAGGGAGAGTTCTGTGTTCTTGAAGGGCTTTTAACTGGAAGAAAGAGAGATGCTAAAAACCCCTTTAAATGCTAAGCTACTACTCTCTTGAAGTTGAAACAAGTCAAAAACAAATCTATATTTCAAAAAGCTGATGGTTACTAAAGGGGTCAAATCACAAAGTAAGTGGATTTTTCTGTGTTCAGATCAATACTGTGTGCTTCTCTGAAGTTAAGCTTCACTCAGCCCAAAGATTTGGACTAGCAGGTGAAACCCAATGGCCTGTCTTCTGTGGGAAGTTGAACTACAGAAGATCCAGAGGTTCATTCCAAACTTAAATTTCTGAAACTGTTTTTCTTCTTGAGCAGAACTGTTTTCTGGTCACTTTGCCAGCAACCATATAAAAATTTCTACCAGCTTCCCCTATACTAATGCTGCTTATTACTGGGGAACCAGAAGGAAACTTGAACCATGTGCTATCTCATCTCCTGACAAACCTGTCCTGGCCAAACTGATACAACAGTCCATGCTTGACAGAACTGGATCTTCCATGTTAATGCAATGTATGATGCAGTTTTTGTGTCTCTGTAGGTGGGAAAGATGAGCTGCTGTCTCCTCTTGAGGATTCTGCTTGCCAAAATGGCTCTGCAGGCCTCACCCAAATGACCAGGGAAAAGAGTCTGAAAGGCCTTAGCAAAGAATGTAATAGAATCATAGAATGGTTTGGGCTGGAAGGGACCTTAAAGAGCATCTAGTTCTAACGCCTCTGCCATGGGCATGGGCACCACCCACTAGCCCAGGTTGCTCAAAGCCTCATCCAGCCTGGCCTTGAACACCTCCAGGGATGGGGCATCCACAACTTCTCTGGGCAACCAAATTGCAAAAATTTATTCCTAATACCTAATCTAAATCTACCCTCTTTCAGCTTAAAGTTGTTGCTCTTTGTCCCATCACTAACACTCCCTGACAAAGAGTGCCTCACCATCTCTCCTGTAGGCCCCCTTTAAGTGTTAGAAGGCTGCTATAAGGTCTCCCCAGAGCCTTCTCTTCTCCAGGTAATACTTTGTGGAAGAAAACTGTCAGGAGTAAATTAGAGATGCAGGGTTTTAATGATTCAGCTATGATGAGGAAGGGAGCTAAGTTTTCCTTGACTTGCAGGAGAGCAGAGATTTTCATGCTGACACAGCAGAAACAAATATTTTTCTGGCTTATCTGCCACTTTATTTTTTTTTTCCTCAACACAGAGCCTGTTATCAAAGACAGCTTTTCCTTCACCTGCGACAAAGGTCCCACCCAAAGGCTTCCGACATCTGCGATTTACTCCTAGTGCTGACTCAGATGATTCTACCCAAGCTCCTCTTGTCAACATTAATCCCTTTACACCAGAGTCTTATCGACAAACGCTCTTTCTTCCTAATGGCAAGCGGAAGACCAGCGGAGAGCTGTAAGTGAACTACTCTTACATAACAGACTGGAAGGAGACTGAAAGAGATAAGTAATGATAGAAATGTTTAATACCTGGACTTATTTGCTAACAATGAATCATTCACTTCCATAGTATTCATTGGTGCAGAGCAAACATTAGCAGACATACGGAAGTAACAGAAATAAAATGAATCATTTTCTTTTTTCAGAAGAGTAGTGAGGGATCAACAGCTAGCCTCAGTGCTATGGCTGTAGGAGAAAATTGTCCCTCTTTCTTTCTCGAGCATAGGTGGAGTGGAGCTTGATTCAGTTATGCACATACCCACATCTCAGAAGATATGACATGAATGTTTGCATGTAATACAGCTTTTAAGATTAGTGCAGGGTACTGCTGACCAGCAAAAGTTACGGGTCTGGTCTGGGTTAACCAAGATGCAAACTTAGTCAAATAGTTGTGCACTACAATGATGTTCAGCTTCTTTCACAGACCCAGCTGTAACAGATGCTCAGCTGGGTATCCACCTTGAAAGCACAGTGGGGCAGTTCTCTCCTTCACTAGGAGCTTCTTGTGCAAGGTCATCTCCCAGGTAGCTTCACCGGTAAGAAGGTGGCCGGGAGAATGATGCCCCTGAATGATGATACTCTGTCCTGTGGGCAGCACTGAAGTTGGTATGTGGAGGCTTTCTAAATGGAAACAAAGACTTCCGAGCCCAGGGCTACAGCCTTTAAGGCCCGAACTAGAAACTCGTTCTGTATTAACACTACAAAAATATGTCTTTAGTTAAACTGTGAAGCAAGGTTTGGATTCATTTGAAAAGTGTTTTCATTTCAAATCTCAGTTGGATTGCTGCACTGAAATGATACATCCAGACTTTCCTGAACTTCTGTTGTAGGAGGGATCCTGATCCAAGAAGCCAGATAAAACAGGACATAACCACAAAGGTGAGTGTCTGTGTATTTCCCTTCACAAGAGGATAAGGTGCTTGTAAAGATTTGGTGCTTTGTTAAATTTATTCTGCTATTGGAGTATAAATCACGGCATCATGACAGAAGATGAATACATATGACAGAATAATTCCAAGCTGAATGTTTTATGTTAATATTTGTTTGAGACAACAGACTTGGAAATTATTTCTGTCTCTAAAGGAAACTTGTGCTAAAACAGATCTGAAACTTTAACAAGTAATCCTAAAACTCATTGATTTTGGTTAGGCGGTCTTTCTAGGAAATGTAATATAATTTGGGCTCCTCAGGGGGAACTGTATTACTGTATTATTGAGTTAGCATAAACAGTGACTGTACCTTTGTGGTTTGAGAAAGCAGGTGTACTGCTGTTCCTATAAATCAGTGTACTGAGCATCATTGGATGTGAATGGAACATGGCTTCTATATTGCAAATTATATATGGACCTGCACTGCAGAAATGCAAAGACTGAGCTGAACGGGGTTACTGAGGGCAGCAGTTTCAGTTGCAGTAGTCACAGTGGCAAACTTCTGAAGCAAGGCAGCAAATTCTGTAATCTCATTCAGTAGGAAAATGTCCAGCTGGGAAGTGTCTGCGTGCCTTGGGGTCCAAGGGAAAGCCCCACCACAGCTTACATAACTACAGGACACCGAACACTGTCTTACAACACAAAGCTAAGTTCTCTTGCTGCTGCTGACATCTGTGCTTTGCTGGCAAACCTCAACAGTGGGGTGTGTTGCCCTGGCTGCATGGGGCAGGGTACAAGGTCTCATGTACCCCCAGTTGCACTGGCAGAACTAGGCAGCTGGTGTGGGAACCCATGTCCCACAGCCTTCTTACCAGTTTTATCTGGGGGGGAAGCTACTCATCCAGCTGGCTTCCAGGAAGCGAGCCAAGCCTGAATTAAATATTTGTGTTCAGATGAGGCAAAAAATCTCAATTTTCCTGAGCAGCTCCTTGAAGGAAGTACCTTGTCTTGTGCAAGTAGGTAGAATTGTTCACTGTAATTAGGCTTATTGGAAGAAAAATGGTACCCTCTAGCCGAGGAGAGTGGTATTGCAGAAAAACTGGTCTCCATGGAAAAACTACTGCTGCAGAGTAAATCTGCTACCAGGTAACATCTGGGATTACCACAATTATTTTTTTTTCTTAGAAGAAGACCTCAAATAAATTGTGACTATTCTGTTCGAGTGCTGATTAGATTGAGTATGTAATATAGATACAAAATTTTGTACTGAGGTATCTTTATTGCCTCAGCTTTTTAAGATACCATAAAATACAGCTGCCTTACAAAGTACAACCTGTTGTGAACGGCTGCTGTTTCATATGGGCCACGTCTTGCTGGTTGTGAAGAGCAATTCTTCACTGCTGCCCTTTAAGGTTATATACTATATACTACAGCAATCACAGCAGTGGTTTCTGTGGAAACCACCATGGAACATAAGCCACTGTCCCTGTAAGAGATGCAGGGGGACAAGGGAGAATTGCTTAGTCCACTCTCTTGTTGTTAACTTCATGCTCCATTGTTTCTCTTTACCTACCTTCTCTGCCAGTAGACATCACTCTACAAGCAGTACCAGCAGCTCCTATTGCCCTAGTGACTATTACTGTAGCAATAATGATGTTCTAGCTGTTCTGCAGGCTTTCAGCCCTTTGTGGAAAAGTGGCTCCTGGTGAGAAATCACTTGGGAATATAAACAGATAAACTGAGACTTGTTAATCTGCCATTAATGGACAGCTGGTGCTTCAAAACTGACAAGAGCCTGAACTGATGAGGAATGTCCTTGCTACATGCAACCTTAGCTGCCAGAGTAAAGCAGCTCTTAAATAGCTGGGGCCACATTAAGCCAACACACCAAGATTTTCTTCTGAGGTCAAAATAGGCAATAGCTCTTACTTTAAACACAAGTTCAGTATATGAGTCTGGCTAATTCAGAGGTACTTGAGTTCCATCTACCAAGGCTGGTAACAGGTCTTCTCAAGTCTGCAGTAGCTGGGCAGTTCTGCTTAGCTGTGATTTCTACCTCTATGGCTAGCAAGTCATGATTTTAAAAAAAGCCCCCTGAAACCTTGGCCAAACAAGGCCAAGATGGCCTTTGTTAGGTGGTCAGAAAAGCAACATGCCTAAGTAAAAGGTAGTGTTTCAAGAACTGGCAGTGCACCTGCACACGTGCCTGGATGAACATCCAGAATGGAAGAGGGAGCAACATGGGTGGTCTGTGAGAGCAAGTGCTACACAGCTCTAAAAACATGACATGTTATTGTCAAAGTCTTTTAACTTATACCTGTCTTTGTTGTTTTTGTGACCTTGTAGAGATATCCTCTGAAAGAGAGCAATATGGTTTCCCGCTACAAGAAGGAGTTCCTGGAACTAGAAAAAATTGGTGTGGGGGAATTTGGCTCTGTCTACAAGTGCATCAAACGCCTTGATGGATGTGTTTATGCCATCAAACGCTCCAAAAGGCCTCTGGCAGGATCCTCGGATGAGTGAGTGTGCTAGCTAGAAACTGCCAGTTGAAATGATGGGCATGTTCTTGGGAGGTGTGATGGGGAAGGGGGCAGTTTGGATCTAAAGGTATCTGAGGGGTGGCATGAGGAAAAAATGGCTGCTGTTGCACTCCCAAGTAACAGCTGAGAGAGTGGGGGAAGTTACTGCTTTAGGACTACTGGATATAAATGAGAAAGGGAAGAAGCCACATGTATTCCAAAGTGAGATGACAGCTTACCTGAACTCCTCAGGTCCATGCAGATAGTCTCTTTAAAACAATAAATGTCAAATTGTTCATTTGTGGTATGTCCCTGCTCTGCTATATGGTCAGCACTGCTCATATCTGTATTGACTGGTGAGTGTTGTCCTGCATGCTAAAGCAAAGACTTTGAAGCTGCCTTTGCCTCTTTTATTAAAGAGTTGCTCAGTGATGGCTTTTTTTTTTGACAGCTGCTCAGCACACTTGAGCAAGGGCAGGTTTTGTTTCTGCAGCTGTTAGAGCCAGTCCATCTGCCAAAACCCAAGAGAAGGTCCTGAACACCTCTGCTTTCCCTTTCTCAAGGCAGGCTGCAAACCAGAGCTCCTCTCATGGTCCCAGGAAGGACCCTGGCACCCTGTCAGGCACCCTGTCACTGCTGCCTTTTCTGTGTGTGCTTCTCTAGGCAGCTGGCACTGCGCGAGGTTTATGCTCATGCTGTCCTTGGACACCACCCCCATGTTGTGCGCTACTACTCAGCGTGGGCAGAGGACGATCACATGATTATCCAAAATGAACACTGCAATGGTAAGAGCTGTGACATGGTTAAAGGCTGAGATCTCAGGATGGGTGCATTTACCTTCTTTTATATTTAAATATGGGACATGTTGGCTTACAACAAAGCAAACTGCACTGAGGCCACAGTTCCACGGAGAACCCAGTAAGGGCTCGTAATATTTAGACAAAGCTCTGAATGGTGCCGATGTCTTACAAGTAGTGAATACCCTCTAATTCATGGGATTTAAAAACTGTTCCTCTGTGTTGGCTGGCCTGGAAAAGTACTCCCCATGCTGATGCTTATAGCTGTGTCTGGGACCACTCAGGTGAAATCTGATATGAGTGATTCAAGAGCAGCTAACTTAAGTGCCATCTATCTTGGAAACAAACCCTCGTTAATGAAGGGGAATAATGATTTGAAGAGTGGCTACCTGGTTGAGATGAAGGTACCTTGTATCTTGGCTAGAAGAAAGGTCTCAACAGCTGCAGAGGAATGGAGCTAAATGATGAGGTAAACTGTAAATGGGGTGCTGCAAGCAGGGTGGTACACTCTTGAGTTTGTCCTTGGCCATACCACTGTTTGGGAGACATCCTCTGTCTGGCAGAGGAGCTGAAGGCAAATATGTAGCGCTCATCTTTCAGCTGCTCCTGTAGTCTTGTGGCTCAACAATGAGTGGTGATAGCTGTTCAGAGTAAAGACTTCAAAACTGGTGGAGGTAAACATGAAATGTGCTGATTGCTGTAGCATTGATGCATTTTTTGCATTCTGGTGGATGAACATCTGAGACTAAAGGAGAAGTGGTGAAAAGAAGGCTGATGGGGAGAGAGGCCATGGTATTTGTTAGTCCTGAAATAGCCGTAGTGCCTTAATGGAGACCCACAAACCTGTGTGTCAAATGTTACATTCTTCCATCAAAAAACCTTCTTGTGGGAGATTAATTTCTTTTCTCCACCATTCATATACCTGCATTCTACCTGTAAGCATGGCAAAAGTAATTAACTTTTCCGCTGTTCACTGGCAGCAGCAGCATCACTACCAAGTCGGCCCTTCTGATGCTGTAGGTAGAACTGCAGTTGCTCAGTCCCTGGCAGGCAGGAGGCAGGGCACTGTGAGGCAGCAGAAAGGCTGAAGCCAAATGGTGATATCCAGGTTTAATCATTAGAGCAATATAGGTGGTCTGGTCACAATTTGTCACTAGCAAGCCTGCAAATGCTCTGGGCAATAGCTTCTACTAAGCTATTTCAAACATGCTGCTCGATAAAATTTTTGTCAGGTCTCTGATTGACTGTTTTCGTGCCAGGTGGGAGTCTTCAAGATGTGCTGCTGGAAAATGCAAAGCTTGGCCAGTACTTCCCAGAAGCAGAGCTGAAAGAAATATTGTTACAAGTCTCCATGGGGCTAAAATACATCCACAACTCCGGCCTTGTGCACTTGGATATCAAACCTAGTAAGTATAGTGCTCTCCTTTGGAGGGTTCTTCAAGTGACCCTCCAGGGGTAGAACCTGTAACAGGTCCTTCTGACTGGATCTATGACAGTGCTTTGAAGGAAAGAGGATCTTGCCCTAAAAGGTGAATGTCTTGTGGGTTTTTTTTATCTTGCCACTACTGCAGCTCTAAAACTGAGCCTTCTCTGATAGTTGGCAGGATTTTACTTCTGTTTTATGATCTTCATAATGCTCCCTCATGGGAATCACTTTTATACTGGTGGAGCAAGTAGGGCTGCTAATGAAGACAAGGACTTCCTTATTTGCTGCTGTCTTGTTGCACAACACTTGACCTTTGAATGTGAGAGTGAGAAGTGAATATTTATTGTGCCTACCGCAAGGAATTAAGTTCTTACAAAAAGCAGTAACAAGCTTTCCTCTCTGCAGCTGAGGATGGGCACCTCCAGGGCAATGGTTCCCCCTCACAGTCATATAATTGTGTCCTTATAGTTTTTTTTCCTGCTGAAATCATGCTTCTAGCTTGGGGAGCTGGGGAGGCAGGGCAGAAAAGTCAATTACACTGAGATATTTATGCACAAGATATGACTGTCTTCTGTTAGCTGTATTGCTGAATACTTAAAACTGTGCAGAAAGCAGACTAATGGGTGGGAAGCATGTGCAGAATTTATCTGGCTGCAAGGCTTAACTAGCCTGACAGGTGGGATTTCTATCAAGTTGTCAGGCTCCTGCAGTCTGGCTACTCATATTGCACTATTGCTAAACTTCACTCTCCTGCAGGTAATATCTTCATCTGTCACAAGCTGGCAGCTGCAGGCCCTGCTGGGCAGGAAGAGAGTGACAGCGAAGATGAATTCTCTTCTGGTGTGGTGTATAAGATTGGTAGGTTTTAGCCCAGTTTACAACTAGCTTAAGGTTAGGGCTGCTCCTTACTGCTTTATATTGCTCTGTCCTGCTGGCTGAAGACACTTGCATTCAGAACTGATGGCATAATCCTGAATGCCTCTGCTACTTAGCAGAAGTAATTCCTCTAAGAAGACAAGTCCTAGAAAACTCATGTGCTTGTTTACAAGCCCAGATTACTGAGCAGGACCAAGCTTGCTCTCTTCATCAGTATTTCCCAATTGCTCTGTTGGTGCCTATAAAATGCAGGCTTTTATTGATGGAGGAGATCTACATCAGTTTGCTTCATTAGTTGCTCATTCTTTGTCTTAGGTGACCTTGGCCATGTGACATCAATAACAAACCCTCAGGTTGAGGAAGGAGACAGACGGTTTTTGGCCAATGAGATCTTGCAAGAGGTACAGCTGCTGGTGGGGCAGTGGGGAGAACATGGTGGTGAGAAAGGGGGGAGAGATCCACTGTAGTGAAATAATTAGTCTGGTATATTCCTTGCCTTATCTCCTTGTTCTTGTGCCTGGTCTGCCTGTGAAATCAGCAAAATTAACACTTTGTTTAGAACAGTATAGTTGTGGGTTTTATCAAGTAAATATTTAACATACTTCATAAGTAACTTTATCATTAGATTATTGCAACTATTCTATCTGCAAGGGATGAATGGGACAAAAACTTATATTAGTTTGGAGACATCTCATTTACACACCCAGCAGAGATTAAGCTGCTAGATGTGACTACTGAGGAATATATGCACCCAGACAAATGCCTTGTACAACAACCACTGTTCAGGCAGTGTGGAGAGGTGGGAGGCACAACACACTTTTAAAACTGACTGCAGTTTTGCTATTCTGGCCAATGAATAAAAAGGGAATTGATATGTAACAACCAGCTTGGATGGGTTCATCAGCTTGGGTATTTTAAGCAACAGTATCTTTTTGTGCTGCAAGTGGATTTGGGAACTACTAGGTAATATATCACGTACAGTCTTTAGATTGAATTGGGCATGGCTAGATTACTGCGTTGTGGTGAGGGCTGAGGGCACACATTTGTTAGACTGTCCTCTGGATTTGCTACAGTGATCCTAATGTGGGCTGCAAGCTCTTCATGTCTGGCTGGAAGCTTACATGTGCTGTTAGTTACCATATTGCTTGCTATCAATGTTTTTATCCTAGAGAGGAGAAAATAGCTGACTGGGATGTGAAGGCAATCTCATATGCACACTGGTTTAGCAGTTTCTTTTAGAGTTGGTATCCCAACTTACTTCTGTTCAGTATAGCGAGGTGTTCCCTTTCTATAAATGTTCATCTTCTCTCCACAGCAATACTGTTATTTGCCAAAGGCAGACATCTTTGCCCTGGCACTCACAGTAGCTCTAGCAGCTGGCACAGCACCGCTGCCTCACAACGGGGCCATGTGGCACCACATCCGCAAAGGCAACATCCCGCCGATCCCCCAGAAGCTTCCTCATCGTTTTCTTGAACTCCTCAAGGTGAGGATGTAGCCTTGACAGGATGGAGGCTTTTCCAGCTGCCAAGTGACAAAGGGGATGTTAAACTTTGAATTCCTTTGGCTTTCCAGCTCATGATCCATCCTGACCCAGCGGAAAGACCTTCTGCTACAGCTCTTACTAAACATCCAGTTCTCTGTCCTTCACGTGGAAAAGCTGTGCAGCTCCAGAAGCAGCTAAATGTGGAGAAGTGCAAGACTGCCATGCTGGAAAGGTAGGGCTGGCTTGGGCACGGAGGGGAGAAGACATGGCCACAAGAAGTGCTGATTACTAGGCATCAGTGTAGGGTAGTTGTGCTGGGAGACCCAATGTGCAGATGTACCCAGTCAGCTCCTGTGCCTGCAGCTGGGAGGGTGATGGGGCTGTGGCAGGGACTTGTAGTGCCAAAGCAGCTGTGGTTCACTTCTGGCTTTGAGGAGTTGGCTAAATTAGAGCTGTGAACTTGCATGCTTACTGCAGCCGCTGGTGATGGAAAATACTGATAGATTACGGAGCCAGTGGGCAGGGGAGGAACTGAGGTAGTGGTTCAGCACAGAAGGAATTGAAATATCAGGTGGTGGCAGAGATCTTCTTTCCCCTTTCTCCCTCTCACTGCTGTTGGCAGTAATGTTTTGCTGGGTTCTAGAAACTGCCCAACCACCCCTCTTAGTGCAATAGTCAGCTGGGGAATAGGTTTTCCATGTAGACAGGAGAGCATACACTCTGGGAAAGCAGCAAGCATCAGGGAAGAAAAGCAATGGAAAAGCAGCATGGGTGTTTATTAGGTATTTGTGCTGCACATGATGGCACTGTTTCCCCAACACACACATCTGAAACAATGGGAGAAAAACTGAGCTAGAGGCTCTTCATAATGGTGCCAGTTAGATGTTTGTTGCTGACCTGATGCATAGGTTTTTCGGTAAACCTTCAAAGCTGATCAGTTCTGAAGCAGAAACTCTGAAGGAAGCTACAGTAATCTTCATGTTGCCCACTGGGGTCAAAAGTCACCACTCTCCAGCAACGCAGTAACATTCTTGTGTGAGATTGTTCATAGCTTTCTTCTGTGGCTGATGGGTGTTCATGCGTGACATGGTTTTCTTCCTCTCCTCTTCCTTCCATCTCCCCCCTGCAGGGAACTTAAAGCAGCCCGCCTTGCCCAGACCCTCATGAAGGACCAGGCCTTAGGAAGTGCCAAGTTTCAAGAGTCTGAAACATCTTCTAAGCAGAACAGCAAGCGCTTGGTGGGAGGGAAGAGCTGTCGCTCATTTAGCTTTACTTTGGGTTACTGAACTTCTGTATTGTCTAGAAAGCTCTGGCTGCTGAATGGCCCTGTGGAAGCAGAGGGTCTGCACAGACCAGTGCCCCATATTAGCTCTCCCTTTTTGTGGTTTTTGGTTCCCTCATTAGTTATGATGAGATGCTGTCTGAGGGAAGAATGACTAGCTTACAAATATCAGATCATGGGATTTTAAGATTATTGTTCTCAGTCTCTTACCTGTTTAATTTCTTGTGTAACTGGTCTTGTTCTAGACTAAGAATAGTTTTGCCATAGAAGGGAAAGGATGGCATTTCCTCTACTTGCTTCTCTCTGTTTAGTTGAGCCCTATTATTGATTATGTTTTTGTGGTCTTAACACTCTGACCACCTGTGTACCTCTAGAGGGAAGATAGTGGTTGTACATGGAGACAGCATCTACAGCTGGGTCCTCCGGGAAGTGAAGAGGTAGAGGCTGTGGTAGACAGTTTTAACTACACATCAGGAGACAGACTGGTTACATTGCAGTCCTGGTGGACTTGCAATGAATCCGGAGTGGCATTTCACTGAGGGGGATGAAGAGTAAAAGGAAATACTTTGACTTAAGGGGGCCTTAACTCGTGGAAGCTGAAGAAAACTTCCCCTCCTTTAATTTCCAGGCACAAGCACAAAACTATGTAACTGGTTAAGCTTTTGCAGACCAGTCCCTGATGCCTGACTTGTTTTATGTCAGTTGGCAAGGGCTCCTTGCTTAAAGTGGGGTAAATAACTGTGGTGTGATAGTAGGTGGGTCCATGTAGCATTTTGCTTCTGCTATCTTACCCATGGTGCAACTGTCTGTCTGCAAACTGCAGCCTTTCGGCAAAAATGAGGGAAATTAGAGAGGCCTTTTTAGGCCTTGTCACTTTTCTGGAGTTGCCCCTGTAAAATGTGTATATATTTAATATTAATTAAATCTCACACCCTGCTGCTAAAAGTAACTTTCAGGGCCCTTGTTGGCTGTGTCTCGCTGGGACAGTTGGATGCAAAGCACGTGCCATTATGAGGGAGAGTGTACAGTTGGTAATTCGGTTATTTTCAGGTTTTACTGAAGTTTGTTTTCAAATGTTGGTCAGCACTGGCTTTTAAACCATCAAATCCTATCCTTTAAGAAGTGAAACGTGCAAATAAAGATTTTAATCCTTTTACCTATGACAGTGTGACTTTTGATTGGAAAATGGCTAATATCACACCCATTTTTAAAAAGGGTGGAAAGGAGGACACTGGGAACTAATGGTCTGTTAACCTCACCTCTGTGCCTGGGATGATCATGGAACAGATCCTCCTGGAAGCCATGTCAAGGCACGTGGAGGACAGGGAAGTAATTTGAGACAGCCAGCATGGCTTCACCAAGGGCAAGTCCTGCCTCACCAACTTAGTGGCTTTCTATGAGGGAGTGACCACATCAGTGGACAAGGGAAGACCCACAGATATCATCTATCTGGACTTCTCCAAGGCCTTTGACACAGTCGCCTACAACGTCCTTCTCTTTAAACTGGAGAGACATGGATTTGATGGTTGGACTGTTCGGTGGGTAAGAAATTGTTTGGATGGTCGCTTCCAGAGGGTCAATGGCTCAATGTCCAGAGGGAGATCAGTAACAAGTGATGTCCCTCAGGGGTCAGCTCTGGGGCCAGTGCTGATTAATATCTTTATCAATGACGAAGATGATGGGATTGAGCGCACCCTTGGTAAGTTTGTGGATGATACCAAGCTGAGGGGTGAGGTTGACACACCTGAGGCATAGGATGCTGTCCAGAGGGACCTTGACAAGCTGGAGAAGTGGGCTTGTGAAAATCTCATGAGGTTCAACAAGGCCACATGCAAGGTCCTACACATCGGTCGGGGCAATCCCCAGTATCAATACAGGCTGGGGGATGAGGAGATTGAGAAGCAGCCCTGCAGAGAAAGACCTGGGTGTCCCTGTGGATGAGAAGTTCAATGTGAGCCATCAATGTGTGCTTGAAGCCCCAAAAGCCAACCGTATCCTAGGGTGCAGCAAAAGAAGTGTGGTCAGCAGGTCCAGGGATGTGATTCTCCCCCTCTACTCCACTCTCATGAGACCGCACCTGGAGTCCTGCATTCAGCTCTGGCATCCTCAGCACAGGAAGGTCATGGACCTGGTGGAGTGAGTCCAGAGGAGGGCCATGAAGATGATCAGGGGGGTGGAGAACCTCCCATGTGAGGACAGGCTGAGAGAGTTGGGGTTGTTCTGCTTGGAGAAGACTCTGAGGAGACCTGATTAAGTACTGAAAGGACACAAAGGGGGCTTATAAGAAAGAAGGGGATAAACTTTTTAAGAGGGCCTGTAGCAATAGGGCAAGGGGTTATAGTTTTAAACTAAAAGAGGAGAGGTTTAGACTAGATATAAGGAAGAAATATTTCATGTGTAGAGTGGGGGAACCTGTTCCAATGTTTCACAAGAAGGGGGCAGATGCCCTGTCCCTGGACACATGCAAGGGCAGGTTGGACGGTGCTCTGCTGCAAGATCTCCCTGCTTACTCCAGGGGCGTTGGACTAGATGA